TGATGTGCCCACCAGATGGAGTTCATGTTTTGAAATGCTAAGAAGTGTATGCATAACTTAACTTAATAATGCCGCCGGGCTCATATATTTGTTTTTCGGTTAGCACTTTGTCATATGGCTTAAACTTTGCCAAATTCAGATGCGTTGAGTTCTTGAACTCAAGTCCCGAGACACCCTCTACGGTCAAGTTATAGTCACCCGACTTTAGAGGAGGCAACGTGAAGGTAATTTGCTTGAACTCATCGACATTTGGCAACTCGACCGTTTGCGTCTCATTGTACGAGGGTCCCGTTATACCAATCTTCAAGGTAACTGGCTCTTTGGTGTGATGCACGGCGACAGCCACATAGTAATCTCGATGAGGGTGTATGGTTCCAGGTCCAACGATTGTATATTGTCTGCGGTGAGCAACGAAATCGGTACATAAGTATAATCAGTGTAGATCGGCAACGGTCATAATTGTGTTAAGCATGTGTACCCAGGACCAGAAAATATATGTAAAATATTCACAGCTAAAATATCACGAACGAAGTAAGAACGTTGCAGTCGGGCGCTACCGACTGCAGAATACTCATTCACATTACATCAGCAATCAATCGTAATTTTATAAATTATACATTTCATTTGAAGATCCTAGCTCCCAATTTTAATAAGATCAGACCTAGCTGTTTGTTGCGCACTAGAGATTTGAAAATTGCTTTATTTTATCGATTGTGCAATCGGTAACGCCCGACTGAAACATTATTATTCTCCACTGTATTCAATCCACATTTCTATGTTGTTACATATTTTTATAATTTTTTTTTTAATGTCGCATCTATTTAATATATACACGGTTTTTTGTTTTATGGTATATCTACTTACCCTTCCGGCTTGCGAGACTTTAGCAGTTGAGTAAGGACCAGCACAAGCAATGAGAGCTAAAGCGTGTGAGCGCCGCATTGTTTTTTTTGTTTGTTAAAATTGAAGTCCAAAATATATATTTAAAAAAATTATAAAATTATATTCAAGCTATTTTGCCAAGAGATGTCTGACTGGGCCAAGCCACCAACTGGTGGGTTTATATCTTTGTTATAAATTGATGTGCATATTATTTTGCCTTATCAATAGTCAAACCTTAACGCAAAGACCTGAAATTCAGGTTAACTTTCAAACGTTTTGCAAAGCGAACTCACAAAACGTGTAAACCTGCTCTAGTCTAGATTGCTTGGCCACGACATCCCTAAGCTGTTTGAAGACCTAATGTTTCACGCATGCACACGTACTAAAAGCACTATATTTTAGACTATATTGTGGGTGTTTACTTATTGGCAGAGTACGTTTTCTCATAATTAGTCTTTTCTATATATAATCAAAGTTTCAGATCGTAATAATTACATGTTTATGAGATTATTTGCCAAATCAAAATTCGCTAGTATCTAAACTATCTAAATTTCAAGCCTCTAGCTTTGGTGGTTTACGAGATTATTGCGTTGGAATATGGGGACCACTGCTACTGCTATCTAATATATTTTATTTCTTTTCCGTTCATTCGTTTGTTTATAAGATTTGTTGTTTGTGTAATAAAACAAAACATTTGAAATATTTTTACATTCATTTGACACATTTTACATTACATCTTTTAAAAGTGCTTCACTGAAGGGGCTTAGCTTTGTCATCCGAATGAGCGCAGAGATTGTCCAGACTACAAATGGTAGTACTTGAAATTGGGCATGTATTCGTTACGAAATACAATATTATATTTCTTTTATCGTTAATAATCGATAAATTGCTTTTATTTTTTAATTTATGGTGAGCATTTATAGCGACTTATTAAGATAGTAGTTTTGTTTCTCAACTAAAAATGGTGAAATACGGTAGTATGAAAATTCAAACAAGTAAGAAAGCTCTAGTCGAGACTGCTCGAGTAGGAGATACTCAGAACCCTCCTATCAGATATTCCAATCATTCTGTACTTCTTTTATTTATACATACGTATAAATAATATACATATAAATCTACGTTTAAAATTTGGCGACTCAAGCTTTAAAGGTGTTGTTTATTACTGATATTCGAAAGGGTTTTAATCTATGACTAAATAACGGGATGCGTTATCGAATTTTGGAGATTAGATCGATATGCGCACTATATATACCGAGATATTGAAATCTCTAACTCTTTGAGATCGAAGCGATCATACATACGGACAAACGAACAGACGGACGGACGGACAGAGCTAAATCGGGTCAGCTCATCGCTCTGACACGCCCACTTCTGCCTGTTACATACATTTTAACAAAACTATTACACCCTGATTTGCCCTTTTCAGTGGGTTCAGGTTATAATTAGACTTCTAGACTCTATGCGACCAAAATCTACAAATCACATTGAGGTCGTGTGGTCGTGTGGGCGTTGCGCGTATTGTGTGTCGAGCTCCATCGTCGATCCCGCGGCCAAGCATATTAATAATAAGCGAAAATTCAATTGCAAGCAGAAAATATTTTGATTGTTAATTTTCTTTTTACCATCTTAAACTTTCAATAAAACAAGTAAGAAAGCTCTAGTCGAGACTGCTCGACTAGGAGATCCCCTGAA